TGCATATGAAAGCTGAATGTTTGGGAAATCTAGCAAGTATAGATACATTCCTGTGCTCTTATCCATATTGGTGTTATGGGCGTTCCTTTTATGGAAGGGGAGGCGCCAAATGATTACATACTTTTGAGGGAGGCGTAGTAACATCAAGTTTGGAAACCACTATTCTAGATCAACATTCATATAAAAATTCTTCTGGTAACATGTTTTTTTCTGAAACTACAGTACATTTTCGAAGACGTTATTTTTCTATGTATCATTTGTGAAATACCAAAATTTGTTAATTAATTATGAAGAGGCTATAGCAGCTATAATCCAATATTTATGCTCATTTGAATCTACGTATATTCAAGATCAACATTCATGTCTAAGATTTTTGTGGGAACTAATATTTACGAAAATACAGGCCTTTTTCGAAGACGTTATTTTGGTAGATATAATTTGAGAAATACCAAAGTTTGTTAATTAATTTTGAAGACGCTATAGCAGCTACAATTAAATATTTATGCTCATTTGAATCTAGGAATATTCAAGATCAACATTCATTTCTAACATTCTTCTGGGAGCTTATGTATACGTAAATACAGCCCATAATCCAAGACTTGTTAATCAAAGTTTATATGTATGTTTGGTTGCAGACAGTTTCCTGAATATTCCGGAAGATGACACTGCTTGTATTAATTAAAATGCATATAACTCTAAATCTAATTAGCATTATATTTATTAGACTAAAGTAATAACATAAGATTAATTCAGGCATAATTATTAAATATTTGTTTATTTAAATTAGAACGGTTTTTAAGAAGTGGGTTTTGTGCAGCGCTAAAATGCCTGAACTACAACCTTTGAAATATTGTTAATAGATGGTGCCAACTGTCACTCAAATTGGAAAATATATTTTGCGCCTAATGTACAGGCAACCGAACATACATATACTTTTTGAAGAACGATTACGTAAACAACGACTTAGATAATGGCTTGTATTTACGTATACATAAGCTCCCAGAAGAATGTTAGAAATGAATGTTGATCTTGAATATACGTAGATTCAAATGAGCATAAATATTTGATTGTAGCTACTATAGCGTCTTCAAAATTAATTAATAAACTTTGGTATTTCACAAATGAGTTGGGAAAATAATGTCTTCGAAAATGGCCTGTAATTTCGTATACACCAACTCTCAGAAAAATTTTCGACATTAATGTTGATCTTAAATATACAAAAATTAAAATAAGTATAAATACAGGCTTGTAGCTACCATAGCTTGGTCACAATTAATTATCAAACTTTGGTATTAGACATAGAATTGGTATTAGACATTAGAATAACATTTTCGAAAATGTGTCATTTGTGAAATACCAAAGTTTGTTAATTAATTATGAAGACGCTATAGCAGCTATAATTGAATATTGATGCTCATTTGAATCTACATATATTCAAGATCAACTTCAATGTCTAACATTCTTGTGGAAGCTATTTTTTACGAAAATACAGGCTTTTTTTCGAAGACGTTATTTTGCCAGCTGTCATTTGTGAAATATTATATTTATGCTCATTTGAATCTACTTATATTCAAGATCAACATTAATGTCTAAGATTTTTGTGGGAACTAATATTTACGAAAATTCAGGCCATTTTCGAAGACGTTATTTTGCTAGATATAATTTGTGAAATACCAAAGTTTGTTAATTAATTTTGAAGACGCTATAGCAGCTATAATCTAATATTTATGCTCAATTGAATCTACGTATATTCAAGATCAACATTAATTTCTAACATTTTTCTGGGAGCTTATGTATACCTAAATGCAGGCCATTATCTAAGTCGTTGTTTTCTTAATTGTTATTCAAAAACTATATGTATGTGCGGTTGCCTGTAGTTTAGGCGCAAAATATATTTTCCAATTTGAGTGACAGCTGGTACCATCTGTTAGCAATATTTCAAAGGTTGTAGTTCAGGCATTTTGGCGCTGCACAAAACCTACTTCTTAAAAAACGATCTAATTTAAATAAAAAAACATATAATAATTATTCCTGAATTATTCTTATGTTATTACTTTAGTCTAATAAATAAAATGCTAATTAGATTTAGAGTTATATGCATTTTAATTATGACATGCAGAGTCATCTTTCGGTATATTCAGGAAACACTCTGCAACCAAACATACATATAAACTTTGATGAACAAGTAGGAAAACAAAGACTTAGATAATGGCATGTATTTTCGTAAACATGAGATCCCAGAAGAATTATACATATGGATGTTGATCTTGAATATACGCAGATTAAAATTAGCGTAAATATTAGTTTGTAGCTTCAATGGTGTCTTCATAATTGTTTAACAAACTTTGGTATTTCACAAATAAGTTGGGAAAATAACGTCTTCTAAAATGAGATTGTATTTTCGTATACACTAACTCTCAGAAAAATTTTGGACATTAATGTTGATCTTAAATATACGGATATTAAAATGAGTATAAATAAGGGCTTGTAGCTATCATAGCTTGGTCACAATTAATTATCAAACTTTGGTATTAGACTGTTTGGAGAATAACATTTTCGAAAATGTGTCATTTGTGAAAAGTTTGTTAATTAATTAAGAAGACGCTATAGCAACTATAATCCAATTTTTATGCTCATTTGAATCTACGTATAATCAAGATCAACATTCATTTCTAACATTCTTCTGGGAGCTTATGTATATCTAAATACAGGCCATTATCTAAGTCGTTCTTTTCATAATTGTTATTCAATAACTATATGTATGTTCGGTTGCCTGTAGTTTAGGCGCAAAATATATTTTCCAATTTGAGTGACAGCTGGTACCATCTGTTAGCAATATTTCAAAGTCTGTAGTTCAGGCATTTTGGCGCTGCACAAAACCCACTTCTTAAAAACCGTTCTTATTTAAATAAACAAACATATAATAATTATTTCTGAATTAATATCATGTTATTACTTTGGTCTAATAAATAAAATGCTAATTAGATTTAGAGTTATATGCATTGTAATTAAGACAAGCAGAGTCATCTTTCGGTATATTCAGGAAACACTCTGCAACCAAACATACATATAAACTTTGTTGAACAAGTAGGAAAACAAAGACTTAGATAATGGCCTG